AATTTTTAAGATGACTACTGTTTGTAATTTCTTGTATCCAAAAAGCTCCATCAAAATCACTATGGATTTCAGGAATATCTTTAGAATCTCTGACATTGCAATAAAATAATGAGCAGATAAATATTTTATAGACTGAAGACAGAAGCCTTTGTAAAATATGTAGCTTGAGAGACTTGCTTGACAAATATTTTTTATCTTGGACTGTCCTGGAAATTAATTCATGTCTTATAGCTCCTTAGATTTTTCTGGACATCCTGTGATACACATGGTTTTGGTGTTGGTAGTAGCATTTATGGTCTATGTGTGTGTGTGTGTGTGTTTGTGTGTGTGTATAGGTGTGTGGGTGTTTATTAAGGTTGTATATAAAATTGGCAATACCCAATTTTAGCCTTCCTGGGGGTTCCTTGGGAATTTGGACAGTTTTTTTACAAGAAAATTTTGAAAACTTACGTATCAATTCCTTTAAACATTTCTATAATCAGTCCTCAGAATCAAGTAACCATTAATGTCGACCTCAGGTGAGTGGGGTCCATCTACCAATTTAGATGTTTTCTGTGCATTCTGTATGTCAGGTTTTCATTTTCCTACAGATTCCTAACCTCATGAATTCAAATTATGCAGAGATTAGATGGAGCAAAAAACAAAAAAAAAAAACAACCTGCAAATAATGAAACAGAATATGCCTTCATTTGCAGGCTTGCAAATGAGAATTCAGGTTTTACGTCAACATCAACTGTGAAACATTCACCAGACCATGGCAGGATATAATATACAGGGACTGGAATTACTTTGAACTATTTTTTGCAATAAGAATGCTTCAGAAAAATCAATATTGAATGCATCTATCAGCATATTGGTTGCTCTTCTGTTTGTAAAACAAGAACTTTATCACAATCCTGAATAATGTGCTGGTAGAAAATCATTCTGGAATATTAAGGAGTCTTCGACTTCGACCAGTGATATTAGGCTTGCCTTTTTTTTCCAGACATGAGAAATTTATTTGTGTGCATTCTTTACATTCTAATGACTGTAGAATTTTTTCTTGGAAATTTTGCTAATATCTTCATAGCACTGGTGAACTTCATTGACTGGGTCAAGAGACAGAAGCTCTCTTCAGCTGATAGGATTCTCACTGCTTTGACGATCTCCAGAATTGCATTGCTTTGGGTAACATTCATGTTTCTTTATTCAAGTATGCTTAATACAACTTCATATAATGTGCAAGTAAGGATTATTTTCAATATCACAGGCGTCGTATGCAACCATTTTAGCACTTGGTTTGCTACTCTCCTCAGTATATTTTATTTGCTCAAAATAGCCAATTTCCATAACTTTATTTTTCTTCATCTGAAGAAGAACATTAACCTTGTTATTTCAGTGGTACTGCTGGGGAGTTCAGTGTTCTTGTTTTATTATCTTGCAGTGATGAGTGTGGAGGAGATTATGTGGGTGAATGAATGTGAGAGAAACGTGACTCAGAAGACAAATTTAACAGGCATCTTACATCTTTCAAATATGGCAGTTCTCACCATGTTAAACCTCACACCCTTTACTACATCACTGCTGTGTTTTCTGCTGCTCATCTGTTCCCAGAGCAAACATGTCAGGAAGATGCAGCTTCATGGGAAAGGACCGCAGGATCTCAGCACCAAAGCCCACATTAGAGCCCTGCAACTTATTTTCTCCTTCCTTTTGCTGTTTTCCATTTACACTGTGTCTATAATTGCATCCGTTTGGAGATTTAATGAGCTGCAGAACAAACCACTTCTCTTTCTGTGGCAAGTTTGTGCACTTATCTATCCTTCAAGCCATTCATTTCTCCTGATTTGGGGGAACAAGAAGCTGACGCAGACATTTTTGTCAATGTTGCGTCAGGTGAAGAGAAAATGGAATCCTTTAACTCTTTAGGTCGGTCAGTGCCAAGGATGCTGTGTGTCTTCTTGCAGAAAACAGAGAAGTCTTTACCTTTTATAATTCTTACAGGTTTTTCTATAGTATATGTGTGTATGATTTCTAAGGGTACATTTAGAAGTCCTTTACTAAACCCTAATATATGAAGACTTTTAGGAATGTGTATATATGAAAGCTATGGAAAAGACAGACAATATTATACTCTTGGTTTATTTATGAAATCCATTTATTTATACAGGGGACAGAAAAGTTTTTTAAAATTATGAAGCCATATATATTTCATAGTTGTTCTATATTATCTTCCAATTGAGGAATGTATGGCCTATATTTGTTTATGCTTTATTTAGAACTCTCAGATATTTTAGGCAGTCATTTCTCTTTTGTTGTAATTTTTGCCACATATATGCATCACAGGGTGTTTATATTTTACTTTTTCCAACTTACAATATTTGAATGGTAGGAATAGTCAGTTTCAAGTCACCTATCTTTGAAGTGCATTTGGGATCGATTTTATTCCACCATGAATATTTATTTCATGTTTAGTAGAGGCAAAGAGAGTTTTTATAAAATATTAACTTAGTGGAATTCAAGAGGAAATAGTACCAAAAATATTAAGTTTAATGTAAGCAGGTGATCAACATAGGAAAACACAGTTTCTACTATTAGAATTAAGAAAAAAGAAACATGATTATGACCTGCTTTCTATGTCATTTTAAGTTTCCACATGCAATTAGGAATATAATTTCTTATAGTTTTTGAAACAAGAAAAGCTTTTATGGGAGTTAAGATCTGAGTTTAAATATTAGTTTTTTCCTGGGTCTCCTGACCTTGTGAATAGCCAATCATTTTCATCTTCCATTGTTAAAATGTCTATTAAACTTATGATAAGGAGACTCTGTACTTAAACAATGCTCAATATAGGGGTGACATTGTGGAGTGAAGAGTTAAGCTGCTGTATGTAATGGTGGAATGCATCTCATATTGGAGTGTTGATTTGATTAATGGCTGCTCTGTGTGGAAATCAGATTCCTGCTAATATGCCTGGAAAAGCAGCAGAGGATGGCTCAAGCATCTGGGGTGCCTGTCACACATGTGGGATGGAGCTCCTGCTCCTGGCTTCAGCCTGGCCCAGACCTGCTGCTGTGGTCGGTTGGGGAGAGAATCAGTGGATGAATGATCTCTCTCTCTCCTCTCCCTCTCTGTGTCACTCTGCCATTCAAATAAATAAGTAAATAAATCTTTAAAAATATTTGATATAATAACACTGTAAAAATGTTCAAGTTTAAATGATCTCTTCACAATTGCATCTATGTAATAATTAAAATAAATTGCTTAAATTTGTGTTTTATTGTGATGGTGTGTGAAATATTGCAATGAGAGACTGCTGTTGACATTGATGGTAAGTTCTTTCATAAGAAGAAAATTGATAACCTTGATCAACATTTGAATTCTAATGGAATATATTATTTCTTGTTGTTATGAAATTTTTACAATATAATTTAATATTTTAGGTACATTATCTCCACATCTGTTTCCTTTTCCTTTTGTCATCTACCTCCCCTAGTACTAGTGGGCATCATTTAGGAAGAATCATGTCTGTCTTGTTTACTATTCATTACCAGATGCTAAAAGCCAACATGGCTTCAAAATAGTCTCTTAGGGGTTGGCACTTTGGCATAGCTGCTGCCTGCAGCGCTGGCTTCTCATATGGGTGCTGGTTCAAGTCCCAGCTGCTCCATTTCCAATCCAGGTCCCTGCTAATGTGCCTGGGAAAGCAGCAGAGGATGGACCAAGTCCTTTGGCCCTGGGCACCCACACAGGAGACCCAGAAGAATCACCTGGCTCCTGGCTTTGAATCAGCCCACCTCCAACCATTGAGACCATTTGGGGAGTGAACCAACAGGCGTAAAACATGAATATATTTTGTATTGTTATTGATATCAATGATAAGACGATATCCTCAAATGTGCTATATGCTGGCTCCAAACTTAAAAATCCCAATAATTACTTTTTTTTTAATGCTAAGAAATACAAGACAGAAAAACATGCCATTAACTATAGAGATGGTGGTTTGAAAGAGGGACCTGGTCATTGGACACCCCAAAAGTCATCATTTTTTTAGGTCCTTGAATCTTCTCAGTATTTTTTTAAGATTTATTTATTTATTTGAAAAGCACAGTTATGGGAGATGGGAGGAAAGGAGGGAGGGAGGGAGAGAGACAGAGAGAGAATGAACCTTCCATCTATTGGTTTACTCCCCAAATGGCTGGAACAGCTGGAGCTAGGCCAAACAGAAGCCAGGAGCCAGGAGCTTAATCAGGGTCTCCCACATGGGTGCAGGGGCCCAAACACTTGGGCCGTCTTCTGCTGCTTTCCCAGACACATTAGCAGGGAGCTATTACTTGAGTAATAGGGACTTGAACTGATGGCCATATGGGATGTTGGTGCTACAGGTGGTGGCTTACCTGCTGTGCCATAGCACCAGCCCCAGATCCTCTCAGTTTTATAACTCTTCTTGATTAATGTAATATTGTTTACAATGTTTACAGAAATTTTCACTTGCTGCTCACGAGTTCCAGTTTATGTAATTTCATTGATAATCTTTATCAGCATTATATTTTGCCAAATGTGAAAGTGAGTGCAAAATTGAACTACTCCTGACATGAATCAATGAAAGTGTGCTATTGTTTTCACCACGTAAGAGCAAATTGTTCTGTTTCTCTGTTTACATAGCCATAGATTAGGAAACATTCACCAAGTCAACAGCCACATAGAAATGCCAGAGTCTGTGTTCTGCTCAGTAAGGATGCTACATGCTGAAGTGCCTGCAAGGATAATTTAATAATAATCCGTATTCATACAATAAATAGTCTAGTTAATAGCAATCAGTATTCATACAATAATTAGTCTAGTTAATAGTAATCTGTATCTATACAATAAATAGTCTAGTTTTGGCTGAGACCACGTAGACTAATTTAACAGATAGTAAAAGGGCTATCATTCCCATGTCTTTCATGACTTTTACGATAGTAACAGAAAATTCCCTACCATGAACTCTGAATATAGTTTTGCTCATTTTCTTACCAATACATGAGTTTCCAAGGCTTTCTCTGGATCCTGATATAATAATGTTTCTTACTGTACAGCTCAGGAAGCAAAGTGGGAGTTCTGCCAGCTTCTTCATCTGTCCATTTCCATTACACATTCACGAAGAGGTAAATGACTCCAAATTCATAGATGTGACTTGGGATAGACCTGAGTGAAAACTCTGGGTGGCATCTGAGGACGGAAAACTTCCTTGATCCAATAGACCCCAGTGTCTCTGAGCTCCCTGGTATTGGTGTCAGTTCTGACTGCATTCTTAAAATACTGACATGCACTCCTCCCTGTCACTGTTCTGTGCTGAATGACCACATGTCTTGGGAGAGCACTACATGAACACATTCTGCATGAATGAAAGAGTGAAGTTTCAGGGCACTTTATTGAGGGGACTTAGAATCCCTTTGATCATTGAAGTGTGGTTTTCTGAAGTGGCTCAGTGCTGAGAACTGGGTGAAGCACTTTTACATTCCCCTTCAAGTGCTCACCTCAAGAGTCACCCTTTCAGCTCTATTTCCCCTTGGTTTGTAATAGTTATCCCACAACAAAGCCTCTGCAATCGCTGTCTGGTGAACACACTCCAGCCAGCGTGCTGCTCTCACTATTTGATTGGCTCTCACCTCTGCAAGTTTACCATTGATTTCTGTAGCCCATGCTAAGTTCCCACAGAGTCTGACCTCTGGGTGGCATTACACAACCTGCACTTGCTCTGTAGGGCACCGACCTCTGCTGGATGTTATCTTTGCCCCTGTCTCCTTTGATTTGTAAGAGGCATTGGATATCCTGTAATAGACAATGGGTAGTGCTGTATACTGGACAATGACAGTGAGTAGAGTTCATAATTGGAAAATTACGCAGTGAATTCCTTACATTGGTGAACCTCATTGATGAGTCAAGAGAAAAGGATTTCTTTCAGTGATCAAATCCTCCCTGCTCTGGCAATCTCCAGAACCGGTGCACAGTTTCTTATTCTCAAGTAGGATGGTAGTTTTGCTTTACCCAGCTTCATTTTTGATAGAAGAAATGGGGAGAATGATCACTATTATATGGACACCAATTACATAATTAGGTCTCGAGGGATTTTGTTTCATAAACATATCTAATTTTTCTAACTCATTTCTCTCTACTTAAATTGGAGAGTTGGAAAGGTGATCTCAGAGACACTTAGGTGTCCTGATGAACATGCATATTGATGCCTGTGTTGATGGGCGTAATAGCTACACAATTTGCAATTTCCATTCCAGGGAGTTTGCACACACACCCAGATTTTGTTGCTGTTCACAGAATGATGCTCTTGTGTCCCTGACAACTTCCCTCCTGCTCATCTCCCACTGGAGACATCTTAGGAAGAAGCAGTTCAGTGCCACAGGATCCAGTAATGCCATCATCAAACCCTCCTACGGACCTTACAGACTGTGATGCCTTCCTTGTACTACGTACTGCTTTCTTTCTGTCCCTTCTCCTACACACTTGGAGCTCTGAGTTGCCAGAGAATCATCTGACCATTGTGGCTGCATGTTTTGGAAATGGCTTGCAAGTATCCTGATTCTGGAAAACAATAAGCTGAGAAAATTTCTCCATCTGTGTTGTAGTGGCTGAGATGCAAGTTCAAAGATTCTAATCTTGATTTCTTTCTACAGTTTAGGGGATTATCTTCTATATTTTAAAAAGGGGTTATCTTCTATATTCTAAAGGAAATTATTTTCTGTATTCTAAAGGAAAATCAGTATATAGGGAATTCTCAGATAAGAAAATTTCATTTTTTGATCGTCTACCAATTTTGTATAAATTTGTGAATTTTAACAATGTTTCGAAAAAGCACTATATTACAACATCAACAGTGTATATACAAGTATGTACATGAATATATTATGCACAGAATGATATCCATATAAATA